AGCAGAACCATGGTAGTGCTGAAAAAGGCACCGGAGGCATTTAGGTTCAGGGTTGAATTTACTCACAATGATGAGCTAAAGCACCCTAAACCGGAGGCCCCTAACTGCAGCACCCCCAGGTCCATCCGAGCATCTCTCTTTGCAGCCTCGCCAAGCTCGCCATCAATCTTTGGGACAGCGGGCTTGTGCTGCGCCCACCAGAAGCCACCACAGTAAGGCTCAGTGCCTTTGATGTGATTCGGCTCTATGGAGAAAAAGCATTTGTGGGTTGTGTTTAGGGCTTAGTGTTTGGGTTTAGGGGTGGTTTGTGCCTGAGCTGAAAAGTCCTGGGTTTGCTGTGGTCCTCTGCGGTGCGCAGGGTAGCTGCAAATCTCTCTGGGGGCGACTGTGTGTCTAGGAGCCTTTTATTCCTCGGCTATATACCTTGACCCGACCCCGAAACCCGAAGCCCTGAACACCGACCTTTGGCAACCCTAAACCCTGAACCGACTTCGTCGCAGGAGCCAACATCTCCAATGTTCAGGCTTGGAGAACACTTCCAAAGTGTTGCGTTCGGAGAGCACAGGTAAAACTGATCAGCAAAGAACAGGGACAAAGCAGGCGTGGTGCAGACCGGTCTGACCGCTGAAGCTGCATGGACATCGTGTCCGTGTCGCGCCACCTGGCTCCCCCTAAAAGCCGTAAACACCGCGAATATCCAGTAACTCGACACCCAAAGCCCTAAAAACCCTCTAAAAGCCTAAACCCGGAGAGAGGCACAGGCTCAGGCCGGATAGCAGCTGGTCTACGGCAAGGCATTTTTAGGCAAGCTATCTATTTCTTATTGTTGCCTGGCGGTGCATGAAAAGTTGCCCTCAACAAAACCCAGCACCCAGAAGGATCCTCATATGCCGCTGCTTTGGATCGTTATGCTTTCCATGGTTACGATGACGACCAGGAGTAAATACTTGATGGTATGGGATGAAGGCGTGGACCAAGTGGCATCATGGTCTTTGTTCTGTGTATGCTATTGCTGCCTGGGTTGCCTAGGCTTGCCTCTCTGGCATTTGCTCTTCGAAAGTATCACTATGGCACTATGGTCGCATGACTGTTGACGCTGGTGCCCCCTCAATCTTGGTCTCAATCCTGCTTTCGTCCTGTATCCTCTCTTTGAAAATCCTAACCAGTGCAGCCCTGAACAAAGGACCCTGAGACACAGAAGACCCCCAAACCATAAGACAGAAGCACAAACACTGAACGCTACACCTTAGACCCCAAAGCCAAACCTTGAAGCCCTCAAACCCGAAACCCTGAGCCCGGACCCAAAAACCTGCCTCCCCTTCGAGGAGGTGTGTGGCGCTGGCAACGAGCTGGCCCAAATTCACCATTGCCGGAATGAGGCATTCGGGGCGGAAGGTGGAGGGGGGGGGGGGGTTGTATGAGATTCCAGAGCTCTTCTTAAACATGGCTTTGCGTTATGTTCTATGCTAGGATTTGCTTTTATGTAAGGCTAAGGCTGAGATGACCTTGAGTTTGGGAAATAGGCTTTCGGTACACAGGGGTTGGTTTCGAGTTTGGGACCTTGCAATGGCCACCAAGATAAAGTGGTTTAGGAGGTTTAGGGTATGCAGTATCAGAGTTTATGGTTGCGTGCCTGGGGTTTTTCTGACGCTCTAATTGGCGTTCCTGGGTGCATGGGCACTGGGATGGGTCAGTCTTCACTGTTGGAGCAACTGATGAAACGGCTGAGAGATACGGGCATCAGGCTCTTGTAATCATGATGTTACGTTTTGACCCCGATATTAGTTGGGGTCCTCTTTCAGGGCTTGCGCCGTAGGGATAACGGCTGGAAATTTTTGACTTCTGCAAAGCCAGTTGCATGTCTTCAGGAATAAATCAGCACCCTCAGACCTACTCCCCAACACCTAAACAGCCCTAAGCCCTAAACACGAGGAGCTTGACGGGACCTAAGGTGTCGGGTGGGTAATCTACATGCTGCGAGCTGCGAATCAAGCCTTAGGGCTTGGGCGCTCAGGGTCCGGGGCAGGTTTGAGGCGTATGCGGGGGGGGGGGGGGAATGAGGTGAGTTCAATGTTCACAGTCCAGGGCTTCATGGTTCATGTCATAATTAGAAGTACCGTTCTGGTAATGGGAGCCACAACACCACAAACCCCAAATTTAATGATTACTCAACCGCTACTCGCCAGCCAAGCCCAAATCGGCCACGTGAGACCCGCATAATTACTTCTTCCTCTTCTTTGTCCGGAATAGCCAGCTCGAATCTCGACAAGGGGTTACACAAAATCCACAAGTTGTAGTTGGATGATCTTCTAAGATTTCGGCCTAATGCCCTCAAGACCCTTCAACCTTGAAACCATAAATACCTAACCCGCAAATCCTAAAGTGTTGCATGCGCACCGAAAATCCATAGACCCTATAGTAGCCCTTGCAATAGCTGTTACAGTCCTTGAAGGGGCCCTAGAAGGAGCTTTGGGCTAGCAAACTAAACCTCGTGCACCAAAGATGCCTGCACCATCGCTGAACCATGCAGTCCCCAAAACCGTTCGAGAATAGTTTCAGGATCGAAGAGCCGAGACGGCTTCTAGAAAGGTCGTGCATGGCTTGATAAGGGTTTCATAGGCGTTGTATAAGGGGTGTGAATGTTTCAAGGCCTTAGACGTAGACTGGGCTTATGAGCCCTGGTGTCTGTGTGGTTCCTTTGCGAGGTGTGCGGGTAATGTGGAGGTCTGAAGAATAGTTACCATACTCCCTTATAGTCTCTATATGAGCACATTATAATCATTCTAATTGTCTGGGCCCGTAAATGACGTCTCTGGCGAAGCTTTGCACATCTCGCAATCCCACGACATCTGAAGTACCGAAGGGGTGGAGGGGGGGCGGGGGTACTTAGGCAAACGAATACAACATATGTGCTAATTCTACTACGTATGTAGGTGTTTTAGGCCCTGCGGAAACACGTGCCTTTTTGGGAAGCGACGGGCTCATCTTGGCACTACTGCCTCAGCTTTGCAAGGCCACCGCACACGCCAACCACACTGTAAGCAACAAAACCCATCAGCCTCAGCCTTAAACCCTAAACCCTGACACTTGCAACTTTTACCCTTCAAAGGCGCTATGCTAACCTCCCAAATGAATCCAACATCCAATACTCTAAATCTGACTAAACATCACTTCTAACAGACTCTTGCTTTGGGGTTTAGGGTTCAGGGTTGAGGGTTCAGAGCTGCAGCCCTTCACTTCAATGCCATCTCGGAGAGAAGAGCGGCACTTTCACAGCCTTTTGCCTGCCACGGGGAGGCATGGAGGCCTTTATAATTAGAATAGGGATTGGGGATATATTGTACTATAGTTGATAAGGAACTCCCAAAGGAACCCCCAAAAAAATCTAGGTAATTATTTAGTTAACCACAGTAAACCCTAAACCCTGCACCCCAAGCCCTACAGCCTAAAGGGCTTTCGGGCAGGGGCTTCTGGCTTAGAACATTGAAGGTTTAAGAGCTTTTGGGCGTATGGCTTTTAGGCTTTAGGCATTTTCGATTCTTTTAAATTGGTCTTAGGCTTCAAGGATTTCATGCTTAGGGCTTTAGGCTTTAGGGCTGTAGGGTTTTTTTGCACCACTCGCAGAGAACGCTGGCTGTAAGTTTAGAAAATCTGCAAGTACCTCGTGCGACTGCCTGCTCTTACTTCATCTGCAGACTAACCCGTGCGATTGTCGCTTTGACTGCGGTTCGGTTTTGAACGAAGTAGAAGACAATCCCTCTCTAAGGCGACACCCAACCACAAAAAGCCCCAAACACACCAAAACCTCAACCCCATGCCCGACAACCTAAAATCAAAAAACCCAAGCCGCAAAACCCATGATAAACCCCAAAGCCCTCTGTTGAACTTCCATTCGGCAAAAAGCGCTGCCTCCGACATGCTGGGGGCAGGTTTCTCGAAGGTGTGCTTACTCTTGCAATCCAAAGCACCAGAAACTCAATCTTTCAGGTTCATGTGGAGTCTATATAAACGAACATAAACGAACGAGAGTTTAAGTCTATATAAACGAACGAAAGTTTAAAGTTCACAAACCCTAACCCAGCTGCTAGGATTTACATGGTTCGGATGCTCAGCTGCAGCGTAGCCAGTACGGTTCTAAGTAAGGAATTTTCCTGGGCCAACTACTCGTATGGCCAATTGGAGCGAAAAGTTACTCTTGCTCCGCACTGCTCTTGGACCCCGGTAAAACCCCGATCCGGGTTTCGGGCCGCTCACACGTTAATGAGTCAGCGATGGGAAAGCTTACGTAGGGTCGCGGCTTTAGAGGTTCAGGGTTAGAATTTCAGAGCGTAGTGCTGAAGCCCCGTACATTCCACCTGGCATGCTGCTGCACAACGGTTTGGGGAATGTGGTCTGGAATCACCGCTGGCACCACGGTGTATGTGTACTTTCCTGGTCTATGACTGTACGCATGCATGCATGAATCTACGTCTGTCTGTCTGTCTGCCTGCCTTCCTGGATGTATGTATGCACACATGTATGTATGTATGTATGTATGTATGCATGAATGCATGCATGAATGCATGTATGTCTGCGTGTATTTTTTTCGTCTCTCTCTCTCTGTGCATGATGCTCATGTCTATGCCTATGCATATGTGTATATGTAGACGTGTAGATGTGTATGTGGCCATGTGTATCTCTCTGCGCGTGTGCGTGTGTGCCTGTGTCTCTTTCTGCATGTGTGTGTGTGTCTGTATGTACATATGTCCGTCTGCCTGTCTGTGTCTGTCGATTCCGTCTCTGCCTGCCTGCCTGTCTCTGTTTGTCTGTCTGTCTCTCTGCCGCTTCAGCACAGACAGGTCTGACTCTCTCCCTCTCTCTACAGGTATTCTTGATACACATATCTTAAGTTTTTTGGCTTAGATACATTTTGCATACGAACCTACATGCATCCTTACAGGCGAGAGAACAGTTCTTCAGATATGGTTTATGCATACGTGCACAAGTTCCACATCTGCCACTTTTGCCTTTTCTCTGCATTGCACTTGAGTTGCAGCGGCAAGAATGCCAATTCTTTGATGTCGTTAAGAAATTGCGATGTGTACCATGGGGCATTCCCGGCAGCGCAGGCAGCTATCAGGAAAGCATAAGTGATAACCTGAGAGGTCTGTGCAGTCAAAACATCGCCACTGGAAGCCAAAACATCGAACCCTAAATCTTAAACTTTAAACCGCCGAGATCGATGTCAAGCTGACTTGCAAGTGCATCTTGTTGGAAAATTCCTGCAGATCCTGTACTGTAATAATGGGTTTCGGAACAATTTAGGAAAGCATTCCCTCAATGTCCCTGTGATGGAATTCAAAAAAAGACTCCATACCCGACTTTAATGCTCAAGGTCGTTCTCTATTGCTCTTGAACCGATCGTCTGGGGTTTGACTGCGGCCCAAGAGCATCGCCACGTAGGTGAAGTTCGTGTGCATCTGCCAGCACTTGAACCGCCGCTTGCCAATGCTCCCCCAAAGCACCTTCTCTACGCGGGCTTTCGGGTTTGGAGCTTAGGGTTTGCATTGCTACAGTTTTATCCGGCTTTGGGGCTTCATGGCCTAGATTTAGGGGGTTAGGGTCTAGAGTGGAGTAGTCTAAGGGTGTATATTAGGTATATAAGGGTTTAGAGCTCTGTAGGCCTCTAAAATTCCTCTGCTGTGTGAAACCATTGGGGACGGGATCGGAATGCTTGTCGAGTCAACAGTTGACGTGTGATTTCAGCCCGCAAAACAAGCAAAGCTATGCCCCAAGCCCCAAGCGCGGCCCAAGCACAGGCACCCACGGCAGAGCTGAAAGTTACGACATCCGCCTGGAGATGTTCTTGCTGCAGCGAGCCCAAAAGTGGAAGCGCCCTCTGCCACTGAGAACTTCGTCCGCAAGCGCTGATGATGGCACTGTAGGTGAAAGTGTCCCCCTGCAGAGTCGCAACCTGCAACTGCTGAAACAGATGCAAAGCTTGGCGCCACTCTGCCGCATTCTCACAAGCACCAAGAGCTGCATTCACAGCGAACAAGGTCGTTGGCACCTCGGGGATTGTCTGGTATTTTAGGGGTTTTGGGATTTTAGGGTTACAGGGTTTGGGGTATTAGGGTCCAAGGCCCCAGCCTAACTTCCTCCCAAAGGCCGTCCCGGGCGAGTTCGATGATTTTCTGCTGATTGTTTAAAGCCTGATTTGTTGATGATGTGCTGATAATTTCTGAGGCATCCCAAGACAACGACTGTCGGGCTGTCCCGAACCTCTCTGCGAGGCCGTCGCGGGCCAGTTCCATGCTTGTTGATGAGATTCGATGGTTTTTTCCGATTACGCATCTCGGACTTTCCTGGAACCTCGTTCAAGGCCCGTCCCGGGCCGTTGATGTATTTGCAGATGTTTCGATTCATAGTGATAAGGATGATGATAGAACGATGTGCCACAAAAGTATGTTTCTTTGACAAACTAATTTGTGCAGGCTATGCCAGTCTGTCCACGCAAGCCACTACTACTACTACTACTACTACTACTCCTGCTGCTGCTGCTGCTGCTACTACTACTACTACTACTACGACTACTACTACTACTACTACTACTTCTGCTATTACTACTACTACTACGACGACGACGACTACTACTACTACCACCACTACCACTACCACTAACGGCCACCTGTGAGTTTGTTTTTGCGAAGCCTGAGGAAGATAGTCTTGATGACCGTAGACTCACTGTGACACCGACAGTACTGCACAGCCGAGTTCGCTACGTCTTGAGCAGGAAGCTCCGCCAGCAAGCCCAAAGCTCGCTCCCACTGTTCCTGATTCGTGACAGAAACGAAAAGCTCCATTCTGCAAATGCTGATTCAGAACATCGCGCAAGCTCCCTAACCCTTGAAACCTAAAACTGCAAAGGTCGGATACTGAAAAGGTAGGGATCTGCTCGTCCACATGCACGCATCGTCGTTTCCATCGTCGTTGCATCGCAGTCGACTGCATCCGAACGAAGAAAGCCGAGGATGAGCAACGCCTGCTGCCACTCCGCAGCATCTTCACAGGCCGCCAAGGCAGCCTTACTTACAGGCTCAGGAGACTTAACAACCGCGGGTATCAATACGATATACCCAGAATACATACACACACATATATATATATATGTATGTATATTATACATGACCATGTATAACCCCTATGTGTTCGCCTGATACAGACCGCCCAATGAAGCCTTTTATCAGCATCTGAAACCCCACCTGCACATGAGCCTTGAGGTACGGCAAAACGTGACGTGGTAGTCTGATGAGGATTAGCCGCGCTTACAGGCACTTCCGAGCGGTCAACTGGATGTCCTTTGTATGATCTAAGGTTTCGGATTGCGGGTATACTATACAGACGTTGAGAGTGATATATATATATATATGCCACAGCGATCATAGTCCGGACTGTGATTTCATGGACCTTGGCCTCAGGATCCAGCACGCCGCAGTTCTCAACAGACTTCGGGCTTCAGGGTCTACCGTACAGTAAGGGTTCATGTGCGTACCTATACATGTCGCGGTCCTACATATGCACCTACATAGTATATATATATATATATAGTCACTCCTTGTAACTTTACCGCCAAAGCAAAGGCTCAGAAGCTGTCTGGACCCTCAGGGTAGGGTTGTTGGGATGTGGTGTGGTATACAAGACAAACAGCTAGCATGGCAAGGCCCAAGGAGCGTTGTAAGTTATGACATTGCACCTGTGCCGTCGTCGGCATTGCAGCAAGAGGCGTAGAGAACGGTCCCACCTCCGCTCGTTTCTTCGAAGCTATGAAGGGCCTTAAACATTGGAATTCTCGGGCGTTGGGGCATTGCTGCTCTGTCTTTGGTGGCCCCCTGGCCGCCCTAAACCGCTAGTCCCCCAACCCTAAGCCGGCCTCAAGGAGTATCCCGTAAACCATTGAAGCCTTACACATTCCTCAGCGCTAGACACGCAGACAGCCAACCCACTACCCATTCAGTGAGACACTTGCCTCAAATCATAGTAGCGATCCCTCGATATCCTAATGTATACTCTTTAATTGAGGGATACTGGGCGCTCTCCAGAAATGCGCAGGACAAGCAAAGCGGCTGCGTCGCTTTTTGGCAGGTGCTGATGGTAGCACTGAAGGTAACAACCTGGCAGTTCGGGTTTAAGGTTTACGGTAATGTCGAGCCGTCGCGAAACCACCTACCCTCGATCTTTGTTTAAACCGTTTGCACTATGTGTATACATGCGCAAACACAGTATTAAACTTGTGTATCTACAAATGCACATATGCACATGCATACATATATTTATATATACACATATAGATATATGTAGATGTATATATGTGCTATATATGTGCATCCTGATGTGTCTGTGTATGTGCAGATATGCATTTACATTTAAATGCCCATATTGTGTTGTATCGCAATGAATTACATGCGTATGTAGACATCACCATGCAACCACTTGTGCGAGCATCACCAGGCATAAGTACACACCTATTAAGAAATACACAAACTTGCAACATACGGTGTTAGGATCTTCTTAAGCATGTATGCCGGTTGGCAAGATGCAAATGGAGAACTTGCTGGTGTGGAACAACACGTCTACACAAGTTGCATACTGGCGATGGGTGTATGCGGGTGTCTGTCTTTCCATACCAGGACCTAGTACTGCACCATCACCAAGACAACCAGGACGATGGAGAAAAAATCAGTAACAACCAGTGTCTAGAATTCAGGAATAATATTTGCTCCAAGGGCATATTTGGAACAATCCCTAGAGAATACCAGAGAATTCAGAAAACCTGAACCCATGAATCTTCCTCACTATGGTACCGTCCTGACCCCGCCACTGCATCGGTGACGGAGTCTGTGGGTGCAAAGTCGAGGTACATTTGTGGGCACTGAAAGCAGCAGCATCTCTGCCAATGAGGCCAGGGACCGCTGCCATTCTGCACCTTTCTCCTTGTTGTAGGGTTTAGGGTTTAGGCGGGTAGGGTTTCGTGTTTAGATGTATGCTTCAGGGCTTTAAAATAAGCCCTTCACCCGTAGCCCTTGTCCTTGTATGAACATGCTTTCATTTTGTCTGGGCTTGGGCTTCAAAAAAGCACGACACTCCAATCTGTTTGTTTCTGAGTTTAGGTTTTGTTTCCCGCAGGCTTTTGAGCGCCTACAAGAAAGTAAGATGTTGGAAATTACAATTACCGCATATAATATATGTATTTAGGATCCTGGGGATATTCTTTCAAATTTACATTTTTCATTGTAATTATCACTACGTGTTCATGTCCTTATAATATGCGCAACCCCAAGCCCTTATCAGATTCTTCAAAACCCTAGAACCCTAAACGCTAAACCTCTACACATCTGGGCTCCAAGGATACAACAGAACCCTCACCTTGGAACTGCAAATCTTAACATCCGAATGCCTTCGGATCAACTTTTCCGCAAAAGGAATGATCTCGATCATGGTTATATGCCAAACAGTTTCTTTCGCGATAGAATTAAATAGTAAATCTTCTTTGTTGGGGCGGGGAAAAAAGCGTAGATTTAATAGATTTAAACAAATAGTCAATGGAGATATTAATAATGAGAGCGGCATTTTGTAGAGATTAATATGAGCTCTATATCCCCGAATCTATTTTAGATCTGTTGGTCTTTGAACTTATGTTTGTTCTTCATAGAGCGAATATGTGACGGTCGAAGGTTTAGCTGTTAGCGTTCGTAATAAAAGGAAACGAGATCATTATATATGTAATATGGGCTGGTCTGTTAACATAACATCTGATAGGTTATTAAAAAAATGTTCTTAATACTTTTCAAACTTTTCATGAATTTAAACCACGAGAATCTCTATATGAATACCGGATAAATTCTCATTTTATGTTTTAGATTATGGACGAACCATAAAGATGAGTCAGAAAAGGTCATTAAGCATAGGTGATGATAGAGCTTTATTGATTTATTTCTCACGGTGAAGAATTATTAATTTTGCGAAATAATGAACGAATAGATTTTTATGATAATTATACCGAGTTCGAGATTTTTATGATAATTATTACCGAGTTTGAAGATGATGTTTATTTGAAAGACAACATGAAAAGTCTAAAGAGTTAATATTGTGAAATAATATATATATATAGATTAATGACGTTAAATTTTTTGGAAAAATATGTTTCATTTATTTAATAGAAACAAACCGAAATAATATCTCAATTTTCTAAGCTTCCGGGATGAAGTTAATCATAAACTACGGTTCACCTATTTAGAAAATTCCAATACGTAGACCCCATAAACTAGAATATGAAATATCAGGTTTAATCAGCATTATTGAGCGCTTTATATGCAAAGATATTATATATCATATCTTATAACAAGTCTTTTTTGCCTAGTCGAATGCAATTGCGGAATATAAGATTATCATGGTTTCAAAAATATATCCCATCGACAATTTATTCATTGCTTCATTCTTTCTAAAATCAAACTGTTCGAAGAAATTCTCCCGCCTTGTATAATACAATATCTCACTATTGAAGTCATCATTGAAATTGTTCGTGTAGAAAATATATCGATCATAAATAGAGATCTAATAAAGTCTCGCAAAAATATCTGAATATAAGTTTAGATTACGAATCATTCATTTTCGGAAAATTTCGAACTTGTCAAATAGGCAATTGATATTTGTTATGATTTATTAATTCCTCTATTAATCAGTGCAAGAAATCTCGACTCTAGGAAATTATGTTTTTCTTTCGTTTTTTGGTCTTAGACATCTTGATGACTTTGATGTATGTTGCCCAAGAATATACTACATACTCGTCACCTCTGTTCGATATTTATTTAATATCATTTCAGTCTAGATAATCTCATACAAGATTCTCCGATAGATATTTGACATAATATCTCTTATTTAGAATAACTTTATATACAAAAATGCTCAATTGGATCTTCTTTCGTTTGTAACCTGAATTTTGCGAGATATAGAAATCTGTTTTGATAATGCAGTATAAGTTTCCCTTTAATACAATTTATGTATTTCCACGTGCAGCGAAAGAATTTCGTGGACTTTTGAGATAAGTTGGATGAGATCTAAATAACAATCTTTACTGATCTTTAAGATGCAGGTTTCGTTTTATGTAAATATTTTCTCTTTGATTTCAATGCTCGTAATTTTTGCGTGTGTGTGTATATATATATATATTTATTCATTTATATCTATAGACATATATATGTGGGGTCACATTTTTCATAGCTATACGGCTATAAGGTTTAGATCGTAAGAAATATTTTTTAATGCAGAAATTCCTCTGTATATTGTATATATGTGTATGGGTGTTGCGTGCTACTACCCGTTATATTTCTGTTTTGCACGTCGCTCGTGCCTTTCCCATTCGCAAAGAGAGTGCTGGAGGTCTTCCGAGGAACCTCCAACACTCACTTGCAAGGCTTGGAGCGCGCTCCGCAGCATGGCGCCGTGCGACTCCCAGGGCCATGCGCCTGTGCATGCGCAACTCCGACCCCCAAGTCCGGTATCTTGCAGCATTTAGTTTTGAGCGGGAGAAAAAAAGAGAACGATCGGCTGGGGCTTCCTTCAAGTCTATCACGGGCCGAATACAACCTGTGTCCATGTTTCTTTGGCATTCAAGGGTAAAGAAAGAGGTAATCGCTTGGGCTGCTTCCCTCATGAAGGAAAGATATAAAAACCTCTACGAGAATTCGCGGTCCTGAACATGTCCCATGGACATCGACTGTGATTGGATGAGACATGTAGGAACCGATGCTGCCAGATCTGACCCCGATTATTTGGCCGAGCTGCCGCGCAACTTCGCGGCGTCCTTGCCCAGCAAACGGCGAAGCCCTGCCTGACGACCCGCTGTGCGACGCTCGAACCAGGGACTTCACCCTGTTCTATCTGCGCCTCGGGCTTGTTCCTGGCCAGTTCTTGGCGACAGCATCTTCGCAAGAACTTTCCCCCGACCTGCCATTACATATATACATATATACATACAGATCTGCATCTACATCTACATAATCACACACACATATACATATATGTATATGAACGAACACGACGCTACTGTTACACTACACTACACATTCACGGGGCTCGCGCTGCATCAGTATGCTCCTTTCGCCATGCCGCCTCGCAGCCCGGGCCGATGACACTGGCGGCGTTCCGCTCTCCGCTTAGCACCAGCAATGTGTTGGACATTGTCACACCTTGCTCAGGGAGGCAAACTACGGGAACTGCACTAGCGGGCCCAGAATGTGCCCAAACCCTTCCTTCCCGGCCAAGCCAGTGAACGGTCCAACGCACGGCAGCTCTGACAAAAGCCACAGCTTCTTCGTGCGGGGAGCAGAGCCGCTTGCAGGCAGCACCGTTCTGATCCAACGTCTTCCTCGGATCCGCGCAAGTTGGTCAATCTGGGCCAGGATCGGGTCGGCACGCTTCTTTGGTGCGTGTGTGTGTGGACAGGCGGCTCCCATCGGTTCAGGATCATGACGGTGTGCTCTGCCAGAGTCAGGCCCTCGAACCCGGGCGCGTGCGTGGTGCGGTGCCCCGTCCATGCCGGGACACGCTTAACGAAGCCCTCGTGAATTAGCCTCCGTTCCAACACACGCACCACATCTCTCTGATTTGTTTCCGGTTTTCAATCTACGGCTGCCCTGCTCTCAATGCATTGACTGCATTAAACGAAACACGTCCTAAGCAAAGCTGCGCGGGATGAGACACATGCCTTCGGGGTGGAGAGTGCCAAATGCCCCGGCAAGGGTCCGTTGGACTTTCCTCCACTCGGGCTGCTCCAGACGCAGGTCTGAGCAAGCCGCCCACAAAGCAAAAACGAACAAATTAGAAAGCACTGGGGGTCTGGGCCCACCTTAGACCTAGCCATCTTCTGCGACCAAGGCGCAGTTCGAGAGGCGCCAAAACCGCAGCAACGCCAGAAGCTGCAGTTTGCGGCTGCGGACTCTCCTCAAAAGCTTTGCGCAGGTGCCCACCGATGTGGATACGCCGCTTTGAGGGAGTGC